CCTCTTTTAGGTCGTTTTGTATAAAATCTTTTACGTTATTTTCTAAGAGTGTTTTATCTGTTGCCACTATTGGTAGACCCGTAATTACTGTTATTTCTTTTCATCTGTTTTTCAATTCTTTCTACTTTGTTTTCAACCTAGGTTAATTTGTTTTTTGTTTCTTCCAATTCTTGCTGTATTTTTATATTTTTTTTTTCGGTGCTATCATCTCTTCTCTATATGCCTTATTTTTATTCCTGATTTCTTTCAGTTCCCCCATCATATCATACTCATAACGTCGTCGTCATCCTCTGAATCTTCTTCTATTGGTTTTCTTTTGCTTGGGGTTCTGGCTTTTTTTGTGCTCTGAAAGGTGAAGTTGACCCTCTATCTATTCTCTTCTTTCCTTCTGACGCGTTATCATCACTGTCCGTGTGATCATGTCTGTTTCTAAGGACCGCGAAAGGAACTAGATCCGCTTCAACCGCTCAAAAATCCAGTTTCTATTAGTTCTCCGTTAGCCGAATTATTTTTAACTTTGGCAACGTCGCAAAACTAACGGACAGAGTTCCGCCAATATGATTGTTTCGAATTGTAAATAACCTTACTTACTCTTATCACTTCAAACACTAGTTTTTACTGAAAGGCGAGTTTTTTTTTCAGAAATTTCTTACTGCGGTATTACGAAGCCTTTGTAAATTCACATATGTAAACAAACCGTAAATTATTTTTCGCTACTATTATAACCAATCAAATTTTAACTTAGTTAATTATACAAAGTGTTGGCTTCTGTCACATTTAGACACATACCTCCGGTTACATTGACTGCTTTGTTCAGACTTCCGTCCTAATATGTCATTATAATCAGTGGCTATCAACAAGTCGTTACAGACACTTCATCTAAGGACAAGCAACCCCAGTAGAGCCCTACGTTACCATGTGATCAATTCCCTTTGTAACTAAAACATCATAGTTTTTAAGATCAAAGATGTAATTCAAAGTTAATCTAATTACATTTAAAGGACACACATATTTAGTGGCTTCAAATATGTAAATCCAGTATGTATTAAACCATATTTTTGTAATAACCTGGTCAAAATTTAAAGTTTCACGTTTGCTTTAATAAAGTGGTTATACTTATTTTAGGATAGTACTGATGATGAAATAGTTAATCTGAAAACGTTGTGTGATGTAGCCCAATAGGGTTTTTTTTAATAATATAGCTTATATAAAGGAATTTTTTTAAGTAAAATTTTTGTGATACATGGTATACAGCCAACTACAGGAATTTAGTTTCCATGTGGAGGATAATTTTAGTTAATCCGCTAATGTTGGCATATTCTTCTTCCTGACTTCTTCTTTTAGTTAAGGTAACCACAGCTTGCTACACTCTGCTGATGGGTTTGCTACACATTTTTCTTCATTAAGTAAGATGCTTCTTTTATTTTTCTGTCTTTCATGTATGTTTAAATCAATACTTTTGATACATCCTTATATGAAACATATAACACATAAACACATCATCCTGAGGGTACAAACATCACTCTCAGAATTTTCAACTAAAAGCATGGCTATATGCCTACGAGATCGAGGCCAAGTAAGTCACTCGTCAATTTGAAAAACATTAACTGCCAAACAACTATTGGTTATCATAACGATTCACTATTTTAAAATAACCTTATAAAATAAAACATATTATTTAACTTGCCATAACAACAACATAAACAAACCATTATCGTTTGTTACTTCGTGTTTACTATAATTACCAGTTACTGCAGTGTACAGAGGTTCTTTTCCCACTTTAGCATTACAATCACCCATTATTATTTTTACATCACGTTTTGGTAGGTGCTCGTATTCATCATTTAGCTGCTCATAGTAAAGATCTTTTATTTCGTCGTTCTTATCTTCTGACGGTGCATGAATATTGATTATACTCCAATTCACTTTCTTACTTTTAATTCGTATTGAACACATCCTATCAGAGATATGATTAAAAGCTATCACTTTGTCCTTGATACTAAAAAAACAGTTCCAAGCATTCTATCTTTACCTCCACTTTTGAAGAGCACCATATCTTCTATATCAGTTATTTCCGATCCTAATTGTTTTGTCTCTTGAAGAGCCATTAAATATATCTTATACTTCCTTGCCTCATTCATTAGTTCTTTTAGCGCACCTTCATTAAAGGTTCCTCTGACATTCCATGTAGCTAAATGTATCTTGTCTTTCTTCGGCTTTACCTTTGTATTCCTGTCTTGTTTTGTTTCGTTTTCATAGTTCGATTTCCTGATCGGAATATATTTTCTTATATCCTACTTTCACTTTTCTCCCTTCGTGTCTTAGTTCTTGCCCTTTCTGTCTGACATATTTCTGTACAATTCTATCCTTCTTTGACAGGTCATCATTGATATAAACTAGACTTTTTCTTCGGTTTCTTAATTTGCTTTTGTTTCGCATGACTTTTCTTTTGTCCTCTTCTTTTTCAAGCTCAACCAGGCAGACTTTTTCTCCCAGTTTCACAACCTTCTCTATTTGAACATCGACTGCTAATTCTACCTGCATAAAATTTTTTATTTCATGTTTTAGAGTCTCTGGGACATTTATATCTATGTTCATGCCTTGTATAACTATATTTTTACGTCTTTTTTCATTTTCCAAACTTTCAAGCCGTTCTTCTCTTTGAAAAACTACCTTTTTTAGTTTTGTGTTTTCCTCTCGTAATGGTACATTCTCTTGTCGTAACTGTCTTATTTCTTCTGTATATTCCCTTTGTTCTCTATGTATTTCGCTGAGTTCTCTTGATTGTTTTTCTATCTTTATACTCACTCCTGTAATCATTTCCATAATTTTTTGTACATTTTCTTCCATTTTCTCCTTTTTGTTGATGGGAGATCTCCCTATTTTGCGGCTTTTGGTGAAAGCACGTTGTAACTCTTCCTCTTGATCTCTTTTTCTTTTCTTGTCGTTTTCGTCTGTTGTACCGTCGCTTTCGAAATCTAATTTCGAAATTCGAAAGCGATATTTGTCCTTATCTTCACTGCTCATTAAAAATATTTTGTTTCACCGCGATAAAGGTCTCGCCCGGATCGTCTCCTCAGAAGCTTAACCCTTCTCAGTGTAACGTCTTAATTTATTTTCTTTATTTATGTTAATAATTGTATTGAGCAGTATATACTATTTCGAACCTCCCTAGTTACTTCACTTCTCTGTCGACTTGGCAACACCGCTTCCAAATTAATCAAGGTTCAATCGAGGTCGACCCACTATTGATGACGTTTTTATTGCTTATGTGTTTATTCTTACCTGGTATTGCAAGAGATAAATACTATAAAACAAACTGATGACGAAGTTAATACATTTGGCAACCATATTAAATCTGTAATGAGAAAATTGAACCAGCAATTTCAAATAAAGACAAGAAACGAAATATTCAATATTCTAACAAAATATGAACTTATGCAAATGGATATGGGAAGCAGCATGCAAACAGCTCCCCCGATATCAGACGAACATATTTCTGTTTCATCCGCCGTTTCTCCCTCTGGATCAGCCTCTGCAACCAATAGTAGTACGCCTGCTTCACAACATGATGGTGACGATTTCTATTCCTTTATTTTCTTGTAAATTAATTAATCATTAAGTTTTACGATATTAATTAAACTTACCTTAAAGTTAAAGATTATTTTTTTTTTGGTGTTATGTCGCTTTTAGTTTGTATGTCCTTCTCTATTAAATTGTTTACATAATCAAACTGTGTTTTATTCAATCTAAAATAACCTCGAAACTAGATGATTGATCCATTATTAATAAATTAAAAAATCCTTCCTCGCCTCCTGGTTTTAAATATAGAATTTATACAACTCCGTTTTTTATACAAAACATGTAATATATAAGTATATCGTCATCTTCTTCCATTGACCTTTGTAGTTTCGAAGCCATTATACCTTCTTTTTAGGAGCACTCGCGTCTCGGTCGCGTACCCAGTTCAAGGAGCGATGGTTGTCTTGATGTCGCTGTCTCGCCTATCTGTCGCTAGTCTCTGTCTCGGTCGCGTGTTGCGGAATGGTACCTTAATTCTCATATACAATCAATTGTGTTTTATAATTTCATATCAAAATATTTACAAGAACTGCACTATACTGTTCGTCTGTGAGTGCCTTTGTCTCAACCTCTTATAAAGTGTTTCGTACTCTACCGGAAGACCCACAATAATGCTGAAACGTCAGCGTTAATTCTTGAACATCGATAATTTTGAAACAATTTTTTGTCTGTAGAACCGTCGGTTTTACACGGTTCGTACTACAGCCCTTTAATTATTGTACATTGGTATATAAGTCTTCGAGACCTCAGTAGATCTGCTGTATATCTGCCAATGAACCGTTTATCTTGCTCTGGTATAACCAGCGCTCTTGTATCGTTGCCACATAGAACCTTTTCATGGCAATAGTAAGATGTGCGAACATAAATTACTTTGCTGAAGGTTCGTCTGCACAATCCTGATTGCGGTCATTGATACCTATTTGGTATTTTTGATTTTTTGATTGGTTTCCCTGATATTTTTATTTATGGACCTAAGAAGAGTCATTCAGTTCTCTTCTGAGCCCTATATTTTTGTTTCGTGTTCATTTTATACGAGTTGGGACGAAATACTGTCAAGACACGGCAGTGTGCTGAAGAAATGACAAAAAGCCATATAGTATGTCCAATATACCTATGGCACGTTCCTTATCCATTGGGATGTGCTATATGGAATGAAAACTTCCTGCGTAGAGTACTGTTCACAGTAGGACAGACTGGGCAGAATCACAGTCTCAAGCGGATACGGATTCAGAAATTATACTGTATGTTTGAAAATAAGTTTTTATTTTACATTCATTCTTATCTGTTTTCATTTTTAGTCATGAATTAATATTATTCCTGCAATAAATATTAATACTAATGAACAAAATCTCTTACAGCTTAATGTAGTAACCAGTCGTGGAGTTCAGCTCGCAGCCTTATTCATGAAAGGAGTTGATATGGCTCTTATAGCAAATGATACTTGCGGAGCACCATTGCCTTGGCTCATGTGTTGTCCTTGGTTATATTTTGATGGCAAACTCTTCCATTATACTCTAGCAAGATCTGCGCATGCCAAAAATATTTTAGAAGTATGCGACAATTACATAGAAAGAGTGGTAAAAGTTGAACGTATAAGGAAAGCAATTTTGGAAGGTATCGATGTGAAATTTGCCAAAATGCCGTTGCCGCCATTTGCTGGACGTAAGTTATTAATATAAATTATTATATCAATAAAAATGTATTCACAAAATACTCCTACACAAACTTTATTATTAATAATACACAGTATGTTTTTTAACATTGGTAAATATATATGATCTAGATAAAAGTACTTGTGGGATACAGAGTGTTTTATATAAATATTTAACAATTAATTTTGACAAAAAAAGTTGGTAAAAGTTTGATAAAAAAGTTTTTGGCTATTACCCGAGGCGTACGGTAGCTGCACCGAAAAAATTGTCGATAGGATAAATTAGGCGTACTTTTCTTGGTTAAATCACTTAACTCATTAACGGCCGAGACAAACAACATATTGGAATAATAACACATAAATTAAAGACTAATTTATAACCAAAAATATTTTTTTATGAAAGGAAAACAATTGGGTGAGCATACGCACCTTTGGCCTAATACAAGTACAATTTTTAATAAATAAACATATTGTACCTTAAATGTAAATTAAAGTTTTATAATACCAAATTTGATACATCGCAGAAGTAATACGTACTTTTTAGCTAGACCAAACACAGACGAAATGAATTATATAAATATATACAATAAAACAGTCTATGAAATAATATAGGCATATCCTGGTACAACAGCATAAACAACAGTTTTGTTGACTTTCTCATTATCAAAACTTAAGTAGGAAATAAATACTGTGTGTGTTGCACTGAATTTCTTTAATCGAATTAATAATTTTCTTTTTTAATGTTAATTTTTAAATCTAAATCAATTTTTCGGATAAGCAATATTTAAACAATTAATGTATTTTTTAATACATTTTAGCTCCTTTGCTTCGAACATTACCACAGCACATATTACAAAATATGAATCTGCCATCGGCTCGCGGTACAAGCGGTTTATCAATCCGTCAAAGACCAATCCCATCTAGAGGAGGTCAGCTACAAGTTGCAGGCGTGGTTGTTGGTTCATGGGGTGCGAATTATGGATATCAAGGTGGAGTTAGGCAAATGGTGCCTTCGGGATACACACAGAGAGGTAGAGGTCGTGGCGGAGGTAATAGTTCTGGAGGTGCTAGCGCTGGAGGATATCAGAGCTCTTATGGAAGAGGCAGGGGAACAAATCGGAGGCCAGGAATGCCGACCTTCCTTACAAATAATAGAAAGAATCAGGTAAGAAAGATTGATTTGCAATCCACACCACAAATCTTCATTAGGCAGCTTTAATAAAAATATTTGATAAATACTCGTATTGGTTTTCTTAAAATATTCTCTCCCAACGAAGATTCAAAAAGTAACGTTTGTAAAAAAAATTTTTATACAAAAAGTATTATATTGTAGCTATTTTAATTACAAATAGAATGAGACTTCGTAAGATCCGATCGTTTAATTATTGTTCCTGATATGTTTAATTGTTTAGAAAAATAGGAAATATGCATAAACTTTGCAGGGCCAGAACTTAAAAGAAAGATTTTCTTCTTGGTCGATTATATTTTTATGTAGGAATAAAAATATTTGCTCAAAAAATGTTTGAAACTCTTGTTTAGTGTTTTGAGTTATAGACTAGTTAAACTACAGCGCTTCCTAAACTTTACAGACAAGTCAAAACAAAGATTAAAAAAGTTTTCTACGACCATTAGAAGTGTACTTATCTTAATTTGTTAAGTTAATAGTTATAGTAGAGGTTTATAGTTGGAAAGAGAGTAGCTCAAGAAGTAAAAAGTATATTTAGGGTAGGATATCCACGTGGATATCTACGTGGATATCAAAATGGACTAAAAAGCGATATTTTAAAGCTCTACTCAGATACAATTGATTTCTGAGTCTTGGGACACTGAGAACTTTTGATCAACATCGCCAAAACTACCTCTCTGCAAAGTATCAGTTAATTTACATAAATAAGTAAATAAGAAAATACCAGGAATATATGCACGAATATTACAAGCAATGAGACTAAGAGTTGTAACTTGTAACGTTTCAGGGAGGTAATTTTGAATATTTTTGGTAGCTGTGCGGCTATTTAAAATTATATTAGTGGTACTTCCTGTTGTTGTTCTCTTTTAATGTTATATAAGATAGTTTGTTAGTGTATTAAAGGAAGGAGAAGTACTCGTTAAGAGGTTTTTTTTAAAGGTGTCTCGTGACAAAAAAAGAAGATTTTTTAAAAAAATTAAATGAAAAATTCACAAATAATTTTTAATTTGAAAAATCTCAGTGGTCCGTTACCCGTATCTTTCATCACCACTTATCCTGGAAAAGGAAGCATTTGCGGTTATACGTTTATATAGCAAACTGTCATTATTTTTCATGCAGAATCAATCCCTGAAGTTAGTTGCACGTGTTTACTAAAAGTCAAAGTAGTAGTATTCAAAAGCACTAAAAACCGACACTTTGAACCATTGTAAATAGGAAAGAATTGAAATCTGAGTCTTGGCGCACTGATAACTTTGGATCAGCATGACCAAAGCTATTTGTCTGCAAAGTTTCAGCCAATTTAGAATCCAGTTTAGTCTCTTTCCACATATTTGTAGTACACAACTAAACTGAAACCATTGTTTAAAAAAGAATAGTTAGACAACCTTTACTAGCAAAGTGTTTGACTTTTAATCTGCCGTTAGGTGGCGGCCTCTGGTAATAAATGTCAAAAAATATTAACAGAAGTTTAATTTTATGAAGAATTCTACTCGAATATATTTTCATCTGTCCGTTCTCCAATACAAACCTGTACACGGATGTCAGATTGTGAAGATAATATGAGATTTAAATAAACGCTTATATTTATTTCCATTGCAAATATGGTTGTAAATGTTGCCTTTTTTTAATATTTATTAGTTTACCAGATATTTAATTTGTTTATTTGATGTGTTAGAAAAGGACGACATATTTAACTAAAATAGAATCGATTGCCATCGTCTTGGAAGACTCGTCAGGAGATTTATCTGTTAGTCGAAAGTTAAGTTTCATCATTGTTTAAAAAAGAAAATCTTTTTAAACAATGGTGTTATGTATATTTGGGGAAAATATATTTTCAATTTTTTAATCCTTAAAATAGGGTTGGAAGATACAGTAAATTTGTGCGTATGGTGTTTTGAGAATATTTTTGAAATAAATAAACAGATTGATATACAACAACAGTAGGCAACACATATTCGGGAACAAATTTATGCATTGGGTAAAAAGGATCAATAATTAACAACTTAAATACATCGACAAATCTATGGAGAGGGCATCACGTGACTAAAATCGACCTCACTTCGGCCATATTGTTAATATTGTTTTGAAACTTTTATAGAAACTGTAATATATTGTGATAGTGTATAATAATGCATTCTTGTTCTCAACGTAGTTGCAGTAGCAGAAACAATGTTAATAAAAAAATCTTCAGGAATATCGTTCCACAGGTTAGTATACAATTATGTAAACAAAGTAATGGCCCGTACTTCAGAGAATAAATTAATAGTATTTGACTGTATTAATTTCATTCATGACATCATTGCAAAGTCCCTAAGAGCTGGAACAACCCTAAAGTAATCTTATTTCACAAGAAAGGTGATAGTCGAAAATTGGAAAACTACAGACCCATCAGCCTACTGTCACACCTGTTTAAAATACTCACCAAAGTCATAACTACTCGACTAACAAGGAAATTAGACGAGAATACCAACCATATGAACAGGCAGGTTTTAGAAAAGACTATTCAACTTCCGATCACCTGTTAACCACAAAAATATTAATAGAAAAATGTAACGAATACAAGCTTCCAGTTTTCCTAGCATTTGTAGACTACGAAAAAGCTTTCGATACCATAGAACACACGGCCGTAATAAACGCAATGCAAAATTGTAGAATAGACAGCAGATATATTAACTTAATAAAAGAAACTATGAACCAAGCTACAGCTACATACTACCTAAATGAAAATGAACACACGAACCCTGTACCATTAAACAGGGAAGTCAAACAGGGAGATACTTTATCACCCAAACTGTTCACCTTAGATTTGGAGGACGTTTTTAAAAACCTAAATTGGAAATATAAGGGAATAAACATCAATGGCCGCTATCTCAGTAATCTACGATCTGCAGATGACATAATCCTAATAGCTACCGACCTACAAGAAATGCAAACCATGCTTGTAGAACTACATACCGAATCTTCTAAAATAGGACTGAAAATGAATTTAAACAAAACAAAAGTCGTGCACTTCGAAGACACCGTGACAATAATAAACGATAAAGTTATAGAAAAAGTTGAAGAATATATATATTTGGGACAAAAAATAATCCTAAATAGGGAAATTCAGACTAAAGAAATAAAAAGAAGAAGAAAGTTAGCTTGGGCAGCATTCGGTAAACTGAACTATATACTCAGAAATCAACAATCACCTTAGTTTTGGAGGACGTTTTTAAAAACCTAAATTGGAAATATAAGGGAATAAACATCAATGGCCGCTACCTCAGTAATCTAAGATTTGCAGATGACATAATCCTAATAGCTACCGACCTACAAGAAATGCAAACCATGCTTGTAGAACTACATACCGAATTTTCTAAAATAGGACTGAAAATGAATTTAAACAAAACAAAAGTCGTGCACTCCGAAGACACCGTGACAATAATAAACGATAAAGTTATAGAAAAAGTTGAAGAATATATATACTTGGGACAAAAAATAATCCTAAATAGGGAAATTCAGACTGAAGAAATAAAAAGAAGAAGAAAGTTAGCTTGGTCAGCATTCGGTAAACTGAACTATATACTCAGAAATCAACAAATTCAATTACATCTTAGATCTAAAGTTTTTGATGCATGCATTATTCCGATATTAACTTATGCGGCACAAACATGGACAATCACAAAAAAGAATATGAATATACTTAGAGTCACTCAACACGCGATGGAAAGAGCAATGCTAGGTATATCACTTAAGGATAAAAAAACAAACACATGGATAAGACAGAAAACCAAAGTCACCGATGTGGCGCAAAAATCATTAAAGTTGAAATGGGAATACGCTGGACATGTAGCTAGGAGCGATCTAAACAAATGGCACAGATCAATTTTAACCTGGAGACCATACCAACACAAAAGACCCAGAGGCAGACCTCCTATGAGATGGACAGATGATCTGAAAAGGACTGCCGGGAAAAATTGGCTACAAGTAGCGTACAATAAAAAACAATGGAAAGGAAGACTTGAAGAGGCTTATGTTCAGATGTGGACGTGAATGGCTAGACGAAGAAGAAGAAGAAGAAGAAGAAGAAGAAGAAGAAGAAGACTGTATTAATTTATCTTTATGTATAATATATCGTGTATAATTATCAAAAAGACAATTAAGAGCGGGCATTAATTTAGCTAAGAACGAGACGTGGGATAAGAAATATGAAGAAGTTAACAATTATATCGGAGGAAGGAAATGCTCGGAGGTATGAAAATTTATATCAAATGTCAAAAACTCAGCAAACCACAGAGCAAATATCCAGATAATCAAACCGGAGCAGTAGATACAACACTGCATAGGTCTACTACAAGAAACTAGACAGAAATACATAATAAAATCTCCAAAACATTTTGTGGTAATTGGAGAAGAAGAAGATCAAAGCGGCTTTAGAGCAGGTAGATCGTGTACCGACAACGTATTTTGTCTAAAACAAGTCATAGAGAAGAGATCTGCTAGACATCTGGAAACCCATTTTACATTTGTGGACCTACAAAAAGCATATGATACAGTCCCAGTATCGAGACTGTGGAAGGTATTAGAACAAACGAACATCAATCACAACTATATAGCTGCACTTAAAGAACTGTATGAAAATTCACAATCAAGAATTAAGATGCCTTCATAATAAATATGGGACTACGTCAGGTATATCCTATCTCTCCTACACTATTCAAAATATATGTAGCATGCATTTAAAAATGGACATCGGATAGATTACAATAACATCAAAGTAGTAGAACAGGAAAGTAACATCACCAAAAGACTTTTTCTTGAAATGGCCTACATTTGCCAAAATAACAATGCAATGAATCATAGAACGGATATTGGTCATCTAAATGAATTGTTCTCCTATTTGTTACTACTAGATAAATGCAACAATAACACAAACAGTAATTTATCAATTGACTTTTAATAAATTAAATAAAAGTTTTCTCTTCTTCTTTTTTTTTAAT